ACCAAGATTACAGATATCTGGATCCAACTGATAATCTTAACGTTAACCAATACAGATCTAGTTTTTTCAAAATCGTCATCCGTGGGATTCGAACTCTAGACCTGCCATTTGGGGATGCAACAAATCTACCACTTCACTAAATCGCCACATCCTTATAATTATAAAAATTTAAAATATTTTAATATTATTTAATTATAAAAATAATTTAGATTTAACCAGAGTTAAAATTCACTAGTCTAAGAATTTTTAGAGTTAGGATACAGTTTTAAGATAAAGAAGAAGTTTTATATAATATAATATATATTTGATATAAAGTTTCAATTTTAAGATTTCTCAAAGTTCTAAATATTTTTACTTAGAATACCTGATCTTGTTTGCTTAATATATTTTTGAAATATAGTATTCTTGGTAAATTTTATCTCTAGTGAGTATTAAAATCATCCTTAATTATATTAAATTTAATATATTAATTGGTAATCTACAAGTTAACCAGAGAGTAATTATAGTAAAACATAATATAGATTATTTATACAAATTGGGCTTTGCAAATATGGCATGCACGAATCTAAAACTTTTTTTTATACTAAGTTAATTACTCTTTTAATTTAAAAAACTTTGTAAAGCTTTTTGAGATATACAGTATCTAATAGTAGTTAAATTATCTAAAACAACCTAGTAGATATCAAGAAATCTTTAAAAAACCTTTTTTAATTTATAATTCATTAGTAAACTAGTGAAAAGACATAGTAAACTTTGGGGATATGTTTACTATATATATAAATTTTGCCTTTTTTAGAATCTGAAGTTTTTTAAAGAAAAGATTATTTCTCTACTAAGTAAACCTTTGACTGAAATTAACTTTTAATTTTTTCATTACAAAAATAAAAATTTTTGACAAATAAGCTCGCATTATAGTAAAATTGGCTTAGAAACAATTTTTACTTAATAGGTAGCTATAATCTTATTAATAAAATTTTAATCTAACTTTTGATTATTGCTTTTAGCCAATCAAAATCAAGAATTTGCTATGCCATAGTAGCTATAGTTAATGTCTAATCTCTAATTGTGGATATCTATAGATACTACTGAAATCTATTAGGTTATCTTTTTAGAAACTAGCAAATAAGGGTTTTTATTTATAAGGCATTTATAGTATCTAGATATGTGATTAACTATACAGATATTCAGATATGTAGTTAATAGGTTCAAACTTTAACTAGAACTATTTTTTTATCTTTTTCTATATTAAGTACCAGTAATTTGAATTTTTTGAAATTAATTTGAATATTGTTAATTTTGTAAAACTGCTTTGCTATTTGCAATATTCTTTTTATTTGTTAGTGATTTATATAATATCATTAGTATATACCAATACTATATACTTTAGAGTAGTATTACTTGCAGCTTTAAGATTAATATATAAGCTAAATTTGTAGTCAAGATCTTGGTTCTTTTTAATTATATATAGCAGTAAATCATAGAAGATATACCAGATTAGCAAAAAGATAACTTCTTCTTGTTCTATTTTACTATCTGCTTAAATCTTTTTTGTAAGCTCAAATGCTATAATAATATAAATTTGTTTTTTTGTAAAGAGATCTAGAATAAAATTAACTACTTGATTTGGTAATTTAAATTTTAAGAATATTCTTCTAATTGCTTCTAGTAAGACTAAGTTAAATGCTTTTTTTATATTCTAGAACAGTGTTGTATATTTTGGCTATTCAAAGCCTTTTTTAACTTATCTATGTCCAAAATTGTCCAAGTGTTCAAGATTGTCCAAAGCTTGTCTAGGCTTTAATAATTGTCAGGGATGATGCTGAAATTGGCTGATGCTGAAATTTAGAGTCCCCATTTAAATCTATAATACCTACTAAAATTCACATATACATTTTTTACTAACAACGCTAGCCCTAAACCCTAATCTAACCCTAAAAAAAACCCTAAAAAAAAAGGCCCAAAAATTTTTTCAAATTTCATAATAAAATAGCTCAAAATTTCAGTATCATCCGATTTCAGCATCATCCCCGACAATAATTAATAAATCTATCTAAAAAATATATAACTATATATTTTTTTAGATGCTGAATTCATTTCAATTAAAATTAAAATAGGTTATTTTAATAAAATTTTAAATAATTTTACTTTATTTAATTGTTTAAAATTGTTCAAGATTGTCTAAAGTATTGTCCAAAGCTGTCTCATGACAATACTGATAGAGGTCACTTTAATACTAAAAAAAAAAAATATATTTATAATTAAAAATATAAAGTTAGAAATTTTTAAACTTTTAATAATACACTCTACTCTTGTTATAACGGACCCTTCGGGCTAAAAAATTTTGTCTATTATATTCATAATAAATGAATATCTATTATAATGTTATATAAAATAATAATAATAATTTAAATTGTTTTAGAAAAATACTCTATTATAATAAGGTATCCACTATATCAGGTTTGTTATAATGAGGGTAAAGTGTATATAGTATTTTTTGAAAATATAGTGATGATTATAAGTAATAGAGCAAAAAAAAAAATTTATTTAGATTACATTATTTCAAGCAATTCTAAATATATCTATTTATATTTTTTTTTAATTTATTTGTGAATAGTTATTTTTTTTGATATTAAATTTTTAATAAATATTGTTGCCGATTCAAAAATAATCACATATATAATATGAAATATATAATGTATTACTTTTGATCACTCCTAATTAAGATCAGATAAGGTGTTTGTATGATATGAATAACAATATAAAAGTAAAATCTATTGTTGTTTTTGTATCATTGTACAATGCTGAATCTTATCAATAATCAAACTTTACAAAAAAAAAATAAACAACTCTAGCCCAAAGAGCTGCTATTTTACTATTGCTGCAAAAAGAATATACTACAAAGGCAGTAGGTCTTGCCTTTAATATTAGTTTCTCTACTAGTATCTCATATCAAAAATAAGTAAAAAAAGTATTATATACTTGAGAACTTAAAAAGGGTTGGTCATTTAGTTGCTCTGGGTGAACCAACCCAAAGAAGAATCATGAACCTAATTATCTCTTGTTATTGTTCAAGTGCTGTTAAAGTTTTCTTCTAGCTTAAAAAACAAGAAAACATTAATATTTCTGTACCCACTATTCATAATATACTTAGAGCTTATAGCTTGATGTCAGGAATCAAAAAAAAAAAAAAACCCCCTATCTAAGCAGTATTTATAAAAAATATTAGTTAAAATTGTAATAAATAAAAGTTGAACCTATGAAGATTGGGCCAAGATAATTTGATTGGCTGAATCAAAATTCAAGATTTTTAAATTAAACAATAAGTAGTATTATTAGAAGCAGCTTCTACATTAAGTCTATAGTGAAGTATAAAGGTGGTTCCATCATAATTTGAGGCTGTTTCTTGTCTTATAATTAGAGCTGCAAACATTTAGAAGGTCCAAGGTAGTACATCACTCTTTACATCATATAAAATTTATATATAATTATATTAAACATCACGTTATATACATCATGTCAAACATCATAGTATATGTTCATTGATATTCTGATGTCTGTAGCTCTACTTATGGTGTTGGTAATTTTTGTAAGATCAAAGACTACATGGATAGTGAATTATACTGTCAAATACTTTACAAGGATTTTTTAAGTACTATTAAAGACCATAGGTTTAATATTTGTAATGTGATTTTTTAGCAAGACAATAATTCAAAGTATATAGCAAAGTTGATGAAGTGTTGGTTAAGAAATAGCTGCATTAGGTTGTTGAATTGGCCCCCCAGTCTTCTGATCTCAATCCTATTGAATATTTGTGGGTTAAGGTTAACTATCAACTTAGAAACCTTCTGGAACAAATTTCAAATAAAGAAGACCTGTTAAAAAAGATTCAGGTGGTTTGTGAGCAAATTGATATTGAGATATGTACCAAGCTGATTCAATCCATGCCCGAACGGATTTGTGATGTTATCAAGGCACATGGTGAGTACACTAGGTAGTAGAGGCCCAAAGGATTAGAATAGAAAAAAAAATTTTTTTTTTTTATATGTAAAAAACTTTTTTTGTTTTAATAGTGTGTTGCATTACATACGATCAAAAATAATGCAACATGCCAAATGAAATAAAGTTCGTGTTTGTAAAAATTTAGGATTATTTATTTTTTTGAATTTTTTATATATAAATCTATAGTATTCACGAATAAACTTTTAAAAAAAATAAAAGGATACGTCCAGAAATTCACGAAATAACGTGATATAATCTATTTTTTTTTTTTGCTCCATTACTTATGATCGCCACTGTATATACATTTATGAAAGTTAGGTATATGTTTGGATCGGAATTTAAATATGTATTGTATTTGGAGAAGTAATGAATTAGAAAGGATGCATTTGGAGAGATCTAAAACTTTTAAAACTGTTAAATAAGCACACTGTACTGTATCTTCATAATAATGTCGCTTTTCTTGTCTGCTTTTTCACTAATAATAAAGTATGTAACCTAACAGCTAATGGAACTTATTCTTTCATCAACAACTAGAAAAACGTTGGATTGTCGAGACAATTTGCCGTGATGAGCTTTCAATGCCTGGCAGCGTAACTTACAATACGCGACAATTCTACCCAAAACTTTGAGAAATATTCACCTAGTCCATACAATATTAGTATCCCTATCCATAAACTCTTCAAGTAGATTCATGATAAATTCAAATCTCTTTCCTAACTCATTAACAATCTGAATTTCTTTTTTTTTAATAAAGAAAAACGTTAAAAAATGTATTTATTCATTATACGTATAATACAAGCAAGTTGGTGGAACACACGTTTAAAGTCTTTCGCGTAACAATGATTTACAATAACTTGAATTATTTACTACTTGCCGCGCTTTTAAACAATGATGTATATTTCCGGAAGTGAATGTTCAGAGGCACCAAAGCCGCGATGTTAAAGTTGCGAGCCTATTTCTTTTTCTTACTCCCTACTGGTTATCTCTTTCTAGGCCGGTGTTTCATATGTGCTACATACGTCGGACGAAGAAGAAACGGTGGTGGCTGCAGGCGAAATTTTAGAAAAACACCCTGAACTTTTGGAATTATATGAATGTCTCAATTGTCTTGAGGAAAATCACTATATATATTATCCATGAATGCATTAATTGCAACGCGTGACAAGTCAACAGAAACTTATGATATATTTTATAGACGATGCAGCACTTGATCTTCTTGAATCCTGTCAAAGTCAGCACTATCATCCGCCTGAGTAAGACTGTTGTCTTTTATATATATATATTTTTTTCTAAAGAACTATTAAATCACGTATAGCTTATAAACAAATCAGGCTACACATTCGGCGACTAATGAACATTATTGTAAACGATCAAGTTGACGATGATATTGCATCAAGAGCCTATAAAATTTTTACATGTGTTACAAACAAGTGGTAATGCAGCATTTCAAAATATTCGGACCTTTGAACAATTGGACGCAGAGCAAGGTACCTTGTGGGAAAATTATGTAAACTTTTAGAAATTTATTGAAAACCTATTTACTTCACTTACAAAGGTTGATAAAGTGAGTTATTTCACGAATGATACTCACTTCTTATCACTCAATGATTTTTTTTTAATTCCAATATTTCTATTCAGTCTGACAGAATTATGATGATATTGGATCACATAGTAAGTGTAATAGAGATTGATATCAAAGTCAAGAAAGGTAAAGAATATTTTTTCTGTTATTTGCCATTTTATCAAAAAATTTACCAGAATTTATCCTTGAATAGAGGAATTAAATTCCACATTGCTATTGAAACTTATTCCGAAAAGCTACGGAAGAGTCCGTACTAACATAAAAGATCTTGTAAATGCTTTGTTATCTCCATTTCACGAGGAAGTTTCCATTGAAACCGCTCGATTATCTCAGAGAATATTGAAGCAGGTAACGATAATAAATACACTCAATTATTGGCGAACCTAAATATATACTAACGTTAGTAGATACGTTTAGATAATTATCCTTTCACATGCAGGTCATATTTGTTCATCTAGCTTAATTACTGAAGTATATCAACAAATGAACAAATTTAAACAATTCCAACTCAAATTGTTTCTTTAGGTAATATTTTATTATTAAAGTTTTTTTTTTCTTTTCTTAAACAAAAAGATTTATATGTACCTTTATTACAGACAATGCTATCAAGCACGTTTAAGTGCATGCTGCTTGATCTTGCTCTTCGTAATACAGACTTTTCTCGTATTCCGCGTCAAAACAGGACCATGGTCACTAGTCCTTTAAGTTTTGTAAAATTCGTGAATATCTATTTTGATTCTAAACCATATAATAAGAATGATACTATTTCATTATGGCGGCATATTTTTATATTGTGTTCCGCATTCCAAAGTTATGTAGATAGTAAGACAATGCGAGTTTGTCACAAGGTCTTCTGTGGATTAAATGATGAAGAACGAAAATTAATTATTGATAAAGTAATAAATCAACGGGTAGCAGAATTGAAGAAACGGATTGATGGTGAAAAGGTGGACTCTGAACTCAAAAAAATACAAAGTTTCTTTTGGAAATAATGAATATCGATATTGAAAGAATTTATAGGTGTCTTGAAAACTCTGAATGAATACATTTTACTATCATAATATGATTTGAAAAAAAAAATTGTTCAATAACAATTGCTTTATTATAATTTTTGTTTCGTAATGTATATCTTGTAAAATTTTGTTTAAATATGTATATTAAATTTCAAATTGAAATTATCGGCAAATGGTAAAAATCGTCGATCAAAGTTGAATTATTAATGTATAGCGAATCAACCTTAGAAGAATACTTGAATTATATAATTAAATTATTTTATTTAATTTATTCAATGTTTTACGTGTCATTCGCAGTATTATGTATACTGATATATTTTTTTTTTGTTTCAGACTTCACGTGAGCAGGTCATAATATGTTAAGATGGTCAAAATACTGTATTGTCCGGAGCGAAGCGAATGCGTAATTATGTCACTGATTGGTTGAATCACATGATGTGGTTTACGCGTAGATTCACGTATAAGTATCTGATATTTGTTTGAACTGATCTCTTTAAGACACTTCGGTTGCGAGGACAAAAGATGGGTTTTTTCCTCGCATCTTTAAATGCACCCTTTTTTTAAACGTACAGCATTTTCCTTTTATTGTTTGTTTGAGTTTATTATCATTAATAATATTTGTTTTTTTTTCTCTTCACACCTGAAGCCACACTACGTTTTTACTTTTTAATTAATTAAATATTGTAAGTACGGTCTGACCTCTTTATAATCACATAGTTGGGATGATAGTAACTTTTTTAAAAAATGTGCTTATAATGAAATTGTGCTTATATAGAGGTTTTTTCTATATATTTATAGTAGTTTTTTTTAACAAAATTAGGTGCTTATATAGAGGTGTGATTATATAAGAAGTGACTATAGAGAGGTTAGACTGTATAAATTATTGGTATTTTATTGTTTTGAATTTGAGTTTGAAAAATAAATTAAAAATTAATCAAACTATATTTTTTAGAGTTCTATTGGTGCCTACCTGCCTGCCTGCAGAAAATAAGGTAATGTATATATCCGGCAAAATCTTGGTTCAGAACATGATTAAACCTGGGAAAGAATAGCATTAGGCTTATTTTCAAGTATATAGTATTTATGATATTTGCAAAACAGAGATTTGCTCCTACAAAATAAGGTCTACTAATCCTGAAAAAAAGGTTGAATATATCTTAACATGATAAAAAAATTTGCAAAATAATTAAAAATTATTTATAAAAAAATGTGTCTATTTTTATTTAATCAAAAACCACTTATCTATTAAAAAAAACTGGTTCATTATTTGACAATAATAATGATAGCATTGCAGGCTTTAATTTTGATTGGTCAATTACTAAATATATTGTTATATATTACTAGAGTGTGCAATGGGCCAGGCCAAACCTGGCAATTTGCGGGTTGGGTTGGGTTTGGGCCAGGTCTGGGCTCAAATTTTTAAGCTTAATAATTAATTAGGCTGGGTATGAGCTGGGTTTATAAAATACTAGGCTGGGTTCAGGTATACTAGTCTGGGTCTGGTTATTATAAATAGACTAACAAGGCCCATTAAAAATCTGCAGTTCTTATTGGCTACAGGCTTATTACATATTATATTTAGATACTTTAAACTCCAAGTAAAAAAAAGGTATTGTCTTACATATATATATATGTTGAAAAGGTAAAACTTAGTTAGTTAAATCTAAAGATAGCTAACTTTAAATACTCCAACAACTAATCTTTGATCCAAAAACTCTAGAGACTTCAAATTGGCAGGCAGAAAGAGACTTGGTCCAAGTCTCAAGATCTCTTAAAGTCTTGCTGTAGTCTTGCTAGAGGTTAAGATAAGTATAATCTTGGCTTGTACTTTTACTAGTTAAATTCATACTTCAAATGGAAGTTAAAGATAGCTTTATCTCTTAGATTTGTATTCAACAGGTTCCTACAATCATTAAGATTCTTAACAATTATTACGTAGATTATATGGTTATTGAATTAGAATCATGGTTCTAATTTGAGATAACAATGATGTGATCAGAGTTTAATCAATTATTGTTTTATAAATAAGGTCTGGATTATTAATCAACTCTCTTTCTTCTTTTTCTTACAATCAATCAAGAGTATAAAATCACAGAGTCAAGAAAGGATAAATTTAGTTTTTGCTAATATTGATTTTAGAAAACTTAGTGTCAACACTTCTACTCTAATTTCGAAGATTAAACTCTCAAGGGTTTATCTACACTAACTAGACCACGTATATTTCTAATCAATCATTTTTATAAGGAACAAGGAGTATAAAACTACTAAAATACTTCTATATTATTGTTTCGAAGTTTACTCAACTGAGTTCTGGTTTATTTTCAAAGTGAAAGGCCTTCGCTCTTATACTTTTTACAGAACTATTATAATACAGATTTGGAAATTAAACTTATTAGCAAAATAGCATTAATGTCATAAGTAATATTAATATACTTTTGTAGAAAAAGTGCTATTTATAGATTAAATACCATTAAGAGGCGAAGTATTATTTGTGAAATTCGTGGCACTTATGTCATAAGTGTCAAAAAGGAAATAAGTACACTATACTAACTAAATTTGGGTAAAGTAGTAAGAATTAACCTGAGCCATCTCAGCATTGATCAATTTTATTTATAAGTATATCTATTCCACCCAACTTGTATGTATCTGACCCACTAATAAATTAAAAATTTATTTTTAACTATATACAATCTATTTTTTCACAACATACATACTAGAGTTGCAGATAAAACTAATTAATTTCACTGCATCATTAAAGATTAGCTTCATCTATAACTCTAGTTTTACTATCGGTGTACCAGTTTTACTAGTTTTACCTGGTGCACCATTGAAGATTGGTTTCACCTGCAACTCTAGTATATATGTATATATATATTTGTATTTCTACATACTCCTTATTGTTATATATACAAAATATAAATGTAACTTAAACTTTTTTCAACTATATCTCTTAAATTGTTTTGTAGCCAAATTTGCTTGCAACTTTTTTTAAATTTTAAATTTTTCTAATAAAATTTTAAATATTG